GTGGAATTTTCGGAATGTCAATAAGTTATGGTACAGAAAAACGTTCAAAGTTTCTTCTCTTTAGATTATTTAGAAACACTTAAGTTATAATTGACTCCTCTATAACTACTTTGGGACACTAAATGACAATGGAACCCATTCCTGTTTTAGTGAATGTTTAAACGTGTCAAATGCTAATCCAAAAATATACAAATTAAAGTCAACAAAGTAGTTGATATTTGAGAAAATGCTGTCTAAATATGATACATTAAACCCTTGTAAAACTGCCGGTTATTTAGTTCTGTATTTGTCTATATACTAGAGGAGTAACCAAAATTCCACATCTAGTTTCCAGTGACCCTGCTAATAATGTGTTTATTAGCCTCATTTTGACATAGCAATTTTAGCAAAAATCTTTTTGCAGAAAATTATCTTATTTTCACTTTAATATTTTCTCAATATATTCAAAAGTTACCCACCTATTGCGTTGAAGTAGTACATCGTGAACATCTTCGCTTATAATTTCATGAATCAACAAAATAATCAAGCAAAAAAACCCATTGACATCGTATTGTAAACACTATAATAGAACCACTCGCACACAGTGTTTAATAGACCATGTTGCAAGTGTAAACTAATCAGTCTTTGAAAGAATTAATTTATTTTTATAAAAAAAAGTACTTAACAATTTCAGCGATTAGTAAATTTATATTTATTTCTTCGAGTAAACGTCAAGACTTCGGGACAGGTTGGATCGTCGTCTACGATGTTGAGTCCAACCACTATTAACGAAAATCTACCATTTAGAAACGTTTTCGTACAAAGGCGTGCCGCCTTGGGTTCCGTCCACTACCTTTTCGATGCGCTTTCAACCGACGAAATTGAACAGTCCATAGTTCTATTAGGAAGCTGCGTTCGCTGGCGTCAAGACGCAGCAAGTAATTGGAGATTCATACAGACAGTAAGCCCTACACCGAAGCTAAAAAAGATCTGGTTAGTGCAATTGTAGACAAGAGCGATTGTGACGGAGCTAATCCACCAATGAATGCTGGAAGTGTATTGGGATGTTTCAATTTTCTTCGCTGATTCCAGTCAGCGATATACCTCGTAAACCGAGATCAAATGCGGTCATTCCAGCGGGACTACGTGAACCGGAGCTAATCTTAGCATATCGTCAAAGCGTAAACCCTGATCTAGCTACCCGTAACTGGAAACTCCTGAAGAAGCATACAGAAAGGCGGTTGTAGTTCTAAATAAGAAATCATTGGCATTAAGCATTCTACGGATTCGATAGTATCAAGCGTCACCTCGATCGACAAACTCGAGCCCAAATCCGAAACTCCTGACGATCACGTGGATATACAATACCATCAAATAGTTAACAGATTGAAGATATGTTTAAAAATCAAAGTGAAGCGGAAGATGCAGACGAGCTTCTGAAAACTGATCCAGAAGACACCGACGTAACAGTCGTCTATGATTCTGACCGTGATGAAGGTAATCCCAGTGAACCTTTACCATTCTAATGCAGCTTCGACTGTATTATACCTCCTGATTGGATATCAAGGAGTAGATCTAAAATTGATCGTAGGCAATTCTAGCGTATCCTCAGAGCGTACTTAACATACCGGAAGATAGTCCAGATTTCCGACACTGAAGATGCATACAGGAAGGCGGTTGTAGTTCTTAATAAGGAATCATTGGCCACTCAATTTATACTACGGATTTGATAGTATCAAGCCTCTACCGGTTTGACGATAAACTCGACACGAAAATGTAAACGATCCTGTTAACTCCGACCGATCAAATGCGTACCCAAACCTACTTGGAGATCTGTTTGATCCTCAGATGGATGTGGAGGACGAAGATGATATTCTGACAGTCTTCTATGACTTTGATCATGGTGAAGGTAGTCCCAGTGAACCTTCAATTTTCTAAAGCGGCTCTAGCTGAATTAAACCTTCGCCTTTGATATAAAGAAGAGGATCTAGAATTGATCTCGCAGTCCGAAATCAATAGCGGTCATTCCAGCGCAACCAACTGAATATGGAGTATTTTTATAGAGGATACCGTAATCAAACTACCCATAACTGAAAGATAGTATTCGACCCTGAAAGTGCTTACAGGAAGACCTTAATAAGAAATCGTTGCCGTTATTGCGAGAGTAGCAAAGTATACCACGGATTCAATAGTAGCAATCGGCAGCTCTGAGAACGTAATGACAAGCTTGACCCTAAACTATATACTTATAGAGGAAGAGTAGAAGACCCCGTTAATCCAGTCAATATAATGGCTACTTAAGCAAGAACAAACCTGATTGGAGGTCTGTTGTGAAGAACGAAAACTGATCCAGATAAACCATCTGCCAAATATCAAGGACGTCCAAACAATCAGTACAAAAACAAAAATGACACGAATTTGATTAAATGAGATTAAACAAGCAAAGGTACATCATTTGATATGGGCTAGCAGTAACATCAAATATTCATAACCTTGTTTTTCATTTTCCTGCTTTAGAAGACATTCGTAATTCTTAGAAAATCGATTATTTGAGACCATCCATTGCAGGGTATTGCGAACTTATTGGCAAAATTGGAGCCCCACTGACACCAATGGAGATCGATATACTTACGGGAATACCATTTATTTCGTATAAACGTTTAGTTCATGATAGATTCTATGAATATCCAAAGATTAGATCATTGCTTATGAACTTCCGAGTTTCGTTACGGATATTTAGGGCCTTAGTAGTCTTAATTATAATATATAGATATGGTGACACTTAGGGCGAGTTTTTCTGATAAAGATAATCTTCATTCTTTGGTTAAACCTGGTTTATTATATGTTTCGTGTTTTTCAGTTATCAGTAAAGTTACATATTATCTTAGTTTAACTGAGTGTAATTGGCCAATTAAACTCAAGTTATAAGTGAGAAAACACAATTAACAAAAACAATAAAACAATGATTTCGGAAGAACAAAAACTTAATATTTTAAGTAAATTGCAATTTTCTGATCTGTTTTGTTTTATTTATTATTGTTTTAAATGTTTATTTAACATTTTTCCAAAATTTTCTATTTTACAAAAGTATTGTGTGCAAAAAACAGCTGTTCACTGTTTATGTTTTTGAGTAAAAACTTGGCAATACTAACAAAGTTAACTGAGCTTAAATCTAAAACTGAAAAACACAATCATCGGTTAAAGTCCGCCTAAATTTGTTCCTAGTTTAATCTAACAGCAAGTTAAGCCTAGTTTAACTAAGGAGTAAGAAACCCGCCCTTAGTATTAGGATAAGGCGGATAAAATAGGAAACTTCCTATTGAAAAAAACCTATTGGAAAAACTGGAAAATAGGAAATATCCTATTGCAAAAAGCTATTGCATACGGAAAAAAGATCCAAGTCTGATTAGTATAGGATCGTTAAAGGAATATTGATAAGATCGAAATATAAAAGGATGTTTAGGTATGAAGAAGAGTTATGATATTCGGTAAAGTGTTCGCACTAATGATTTTATTCTTTCAAACTTTTGATACTATACATTTACACATATACATACATAAATATGTGTGTAATGTGTGTTTTTCTCCTCGCACAACGTGGCGTATGTTGTTTATGTCAGGAATAATGTTTATTATTGTTTGAGGCTTATGGCACATTATCTAAATATTGTTAGAGAAAACTCAATGAATTGATATGATTGAAATTCTATAAAAAAAGTGGGCCTTCAATAAAAAAAATGTATTTTACACATGAATTTCTAAGTTTAGATAGTAGATAGATAGTACAAACAATCTATAATAATAAAATCAATAGCAATAGGGTAAAAAAACACATCAACAACCTAGTACAACTTAAGTGACATTTTTTGCGACAAAGGAAACATAAAGGTGGAGTGTGTGTTTAACTAACTAACAAACAGACAAGAACAAAAAAAAACATTTGAAATATATGTATTGAGTTACAAAAAGTCAATCAAAATGTCCTATACTATAGAAGGACTATTTTTTTTGTACAAAGTATATTTGTTTAACAAAAAATATTGGGGATTTAGAGAGGTCATAATGACACAAATTCAATTTAATGTTAAACAAAAATAAATATAAAAAACAAACCTTTTGTTTGTACTAAAGTTAATATTAACTTTTAGATAAAAAAAATAAATTTTGTTTTGAAAAAACTAAAGTATTGTGTATCTTGCACAAAGGATTATAAAAGAAAATGAATTTTCTAAATTAAAAGTTTTGACACGTGTGTTAAATCTTCTGTACATATGTTCTTCCGTTATTTATAAACCGAATTTAATGAATTTCAACAGTAAACTTCTCGAAAACATGTCTGTAGAATTATTAAAAATTTGGAACCCAAATATATCTGGGGTTTTCAACAAACATAGACGGATATCGCTAAAACGACTTCGCTATCTATGTATAAGAATTAAGAATGTACATTCTATACAGGGTTTTTACAAACTTATATACTCCTCCTTCTAAAGGAGAAGGGTAAATTTTGTGAACATTTCTTCTCAATAGAGAGAAAATTGAATAAAATTTTTTCAAGAATCTTTTTCTTTAAAAATATGTATTAAAGTCATTCTATAAAATAATTTATTTTTTAAAGAAAATTTATTAAAAATTTGGAAAACATATTTTTTTTATACGTAAAAGTGATCAAAAATATCAACATACATATTTCTATACAAAAATAACTTTTATTATAAATCTTCTAAAAACTATTTAAGTGTTTAATTTTAGTTGATCTTTTTAATTTATTAATTAATTGTATACATTTTTATCAGGCTCGGTTTCGAATCCTGTTCTTTTTATTAATGTTTCCAAAATTACATTTATTGAAATTATACCATTTTATTATCAATACACTTTTAAACATAGCACTTAATGCAATATTGCTATAAATGGTCAAATGCTTCCAAAATTTACTTTTCCACGGTATAGTGTGTAATATATTCGAGTTTGCCTAACAATATTTGCTAAGTATTTACTTATTTATCTATTCAACTTACTGTGTATATATTTGGTAGTTAAAAAGGAAGCTTCTGTTATATGCTTGGGCAATGGCACCGAGTCCAAGGTAAGTATATGAGTTATATTAAATGATCTTAATGTCTCCATATTAGTAGCAGCTGTTAAATTGCCTAAAAACAAAGAAAAAAATCAATTATTTTATAACATATCGCAAAATTTAACAACTAAAACATGGCTTTGTGTATAAACTTCCAAAAAAAAAAACTTACCTAAATATAGGCCATTCTCTATTTCATCTAAACTAACAGGACCTCCGTCGAAATCCTCACGTGTTAAAACACCACTATCTTGCAACTTTTGTTTAGCAACAATTGTATTTGGTGATTTTGTCGCAGTATTTTCATTTTTTGTTGATGTTGCCATTATAGTTAATAGAAAAATCAAATATTTTCACTTTAGTTTATAAACAAATACACTTTTTTTAAGTTTAATTTCCCTGGCGTATAATTTGCACGTCTGTATTGTTAGAAGAACCACACCGTTGTGTGGTATCTACATGTGTTTTTTAGTTGGCCAATTTTTTTTTCTTCCTCCGTTTGCTATTTTTTACTGTTTGTATTTGTTGTTGTTTGCAAAAACAAAACGATTTGTTTTGACGAAAATCAAAACATTGAACAGCTGTTTAATGTGTATTTATGTGCGAAATTGCCAGACTGTGGAGATTAGTGGAAAACATACAATGGAAGATTTAATTGGGTTTCCCTATAATACAGAAGTTATAACTATAGTTAGTTAAATTTACAAGTTAGTTAGTTAATTAGTAAAATTTACAAGTTACTAGACTGAAGATGTTATGGGAAAACATACAATGGAAGATTTAGTTGGGTTTCCTTATAATGGAGAAGTTAGTTAGTTAATTAGTAAAATTTACTAGTTAGATAGTTTGTTAAAAGAGGATAAATAAATACCCTTTCAAAAATTTGGAATGCTTCTTAATTTTCAAATAAAAACAACTGTTGGACATCTCTGATTGGAAGTGAAGTAGCCACTAGAAAGTATGAAAATTCTAATAAACATATGGCAGCATCTAATGGTTTGTGTTGATTGATAACAAAAACAACAACAGCAATTATTACAAATTATACTAAATGTTGCATCCACAGCTGTTGAACGGCCTTGAAATAAAATTATTATTACGCTGTTGTTGCAACAAACAATTGGCAGTGACAACAATTAAGAAAAAAAAAGAAGGGCAGCAGCGCAGCATTATTAAATCCAAAATCTAAAACAGGTGTCCATTTAGCAACAGAAACAACCAACAAAGGGCTGAAACTATTTGGCGTTAAAAACATAATAGAAAAAATGATGAATAACGAAATAATAACAACGTCATCTCAAGAAAATGTTCCACCATCAGCGGCTGCAACAAGTAGAGACTTATCAGACACCACAACATCAGCATCCTCAACAACAGGTGATCAAAGTATGAAAATAAATAATAAAGTTATTAAAAAATACTTGGCTGCATTTGATTTTGATTATACGGTAGTGGCCCAGAATACCGATACTGTCATACGTGACCTCTTGCCGCCCGATAGATTAACCAAAGATATGCAGGACATAATAGAGGTTCAAGGCTGGACTGAGTATATGGCTGAAGTATTTCGTCGTCTACATGCTTGCCACATAAAACCGGACAAGATACTACAAACCATACACGGCATACCCGAGGTGCCTGGTTTTGTTCGTATGCTAAAGAGGCTTAATACTAAATATGGTTGCGATTTGATTGTCATTAGCGATTCCAATAGTGTTTTCATAGAAGAATGGATCAAGTCACATGGTCTACAGGAAAATTTCACAAAAGTCTTTACCAATCCGGCCCAATTTGAGGACTCGGGACTGTTGACCATAAAACCCTATCATCATCAAACCGATTGTCGTCTCAGTGCTGTTAATCTATGCAAGGGTAAAGTGTTGGAACATTTTATGATTGAACAAGATTTACGCCATAATATTACCTATGAACGTGTCATTTATGTGGGCGATGGCAATAATGACATTTGCCCTGTGACCAAGCTACGTAATCGTGATATAGCCTGTGCACGAGAAGGTTTTGCCATGGCCAAAACTTTAGCCAAAAATCCCATGAAACTAAAAGTACGTGCTGAATTTATTATATGGAAAAGTGGTTTTGATCTCTTAGACCAGCTGGAGCGTCATATGGAAAAATTGGCCAAACAACTGGAAAAGGAAAAAGAACATGAGCCACAACACTCCACAGCAGCAGTGGCAGATATTCCTCAAGCTACCAGTACAGAAGCTACCAAAGTTCATTAGATGGCCAAACCAGAGTATTAGTTAGAGAATTTTTAAAACAAACTCATTATTTACTACAATTTTAAGAGCATGTAATTTTGTAGTATTAAAACTGATTAAAGGAACATCTTACGTTTTTATCTGTTCAAATTTCCCGCTATACATTCAAGTTTGTTTTCATTCTCCTTTTTTCAAAATGTTCGCTCGCTTATCAGTTCG